CTCTCTCCAGTAGCTCCTCATCTTTCTTGAACTGGGGAGCCCAGAACTGGACACAGCACTGCAGATGGGGCCTCACCAGGGCAGAGCAGAGGGGGAGGAGAACCTCCCTCAACCTGCTGGCCACACTCCTCTTGATGCACCCCAGGATCCCGTTGGCCTTCTTGGCAGCCAGGGCACACTGCTGGCTCATGGTCACCTTGCTGTCCCCCAGGACACCCAATGGTAGGATTGGTTCCTGTTCAGGCCCTGGAGGCCGGCCGAGGGGAGGGGAGCAAGGGGGGAAGGGAAGGCGTTGGGCGAGGAGCAGCCGGTGGAGCAATGCTTCCCCCATTGCACAAGCCCTGAAAGTCCAAGGGCAGGGTTTGGCCCAGCCGTGGCGTGACCAGAAGGAGGGTAGGAAGGATGGGAGGAGTGGAGGGAGGAAGGAAGGAAATGAGGCAGGTATGAAGGAAGGAAGGAAGGAAGGAAGGAAGGAAGGAAGGAAGGAAGGAAGGAAGGAAAAGAGAGAAGGGAGAAAAAAGAAGGAAGGGAAGGAAGGAAGTGATACAAGAAAGGAAGAATGAAGAAATGGAGGGAGAGACGAAGCAAAGAAGAAATGATAGAGGCAAGAAAGGAAAGATAAAAGGAAAAGAGGGGAAAAGGAGGAAAGAAGAGAAGAGAAGAGAAGAGAAGAGAAGAGAAGAGAAGAGAAGAGAAGAGAAGAGAAGAAAAAAGAAAAGAAAAGAAAAGAAAAGAAAAGAAAAGAAAAGAAAAGAAAAGAAAAGAAAAGAAAAGAAAAGAAAAGAAAAGAAAAGAGAAAAGAAAAGAAGAAAAGAAAAGAAAAGAAAAGAAAAGAAAAGAAAAGAAAAGAAAAGAAAAGAAAAGAAAAGAAAAGAAAAGAAAAGAAAAGAAAAGAAAAGAAAAGAAAAGAAAAGAAAAGAAAAGAAAAGAAAAGAAAAGAAAAGAAAAGAAAAGAAAAGAAAAGAAAAGAAAAGAAAAGAAAAGAAAAGAAAAGAAAAGAAAAGAAAAGAAAAGAAAAGAAAAGAAAAGAAAAGAAAAGAAAAGAAAAGAAAAGAAAAGAAAAGAAAAGAAAAGAAAAGAAAAGAAAAGAAAAGAAAAGAAAAGAAAAGAAAAGAAAAGAAAAGAAAAGAAAAGAAAAGAAAAGAAAAGAAAAGAAAAGAAAAGAAAAGAAAAGAAAAGAAAAGAAAAGAAAAGAAAAGAAAAGAAAAGAAAAGAAAAGAAAAGAAAAGAAAAGAAAAGAAAAGAAAAGAAAAGAAAAGAAAAGAAAAGAAAAGAAAAGAAAAGAAAAGAAAAGAAAAGAAAAGAAAAGAAAAGAAAAGAAAAGAAAAGAAAAGAAAAGAAAAGAAAAGAAAAGAAAAGAAAAGAAAAGAAAAGAAAAGAAAAGAAAAGAAAAGAAAAGAAAAGAAAAGAAAAGAAAAGAAAAGAAAAGAAAAGAAAAGAAAAGAAAAGAAAAGAAAAGAAAAGAAAAGAAAAGAAAAGAAAAGAAAAGAAAAGAAAAGAAAAGAAAAGAAAAGAAAAGAAAAGAAAAGAAAAGAAAAGAAAAGAAAAGAAAAGAAAAGAAAAGAAAAGAAAAGAAAAGAAAAGAAAAGAAAAGAAAAGAAAAGAAAAGAAAAGAAAAGAAAAGAAAAGAAAAGAAAAGAAAAGAAAAGAAAAGAAAAGAAAAGAAAAGAAAAGAAAAGAAAAGAAAAGAAAAGAAAAGAAAAGAAAAGAAAAGAAAAGAAAAGAAAAGAAAAGAAAAGAAAAGAAAAGAAAAGAAAAGAAAAGAAAAGAAAAGAAAAGAAAAGAAAAGAAAAGAAAAGAAAAGAAAAGAAAAGAAAAGAAAAGAAAAGAAAAGAAAAGAAAAGAAAAGAAAAGAAAAGAAAAGAAAAGAAAAGAAAAGAAAAGAAAAGAAAAGAAAAGAAAAGAAAAGAAAAGAAAAGAAAAGAAAAGAAAAGAAAAGAAAAGAAAAGAAAAGAAAAGAAAAGAAAAGAAAAGAAAAGAAAAGAAAAGAAAAGAAAAGAAAAGAAAAGAAAAGAAAAGAAAAGAAAAGAAAAGAAAAGAAAAGAAAAGAAAAGAAAAGAAAAGAAAAGAAAAGAAAAGAAAAGAAAAGGAGGGACAAAGGCCGGCGGGAAAGCCGGGAAAACGCGGCTAAAAGCGTATTTTGCTGGGAAGGGGAGACAAAGGCAGGAAGCAGATAAACGCAGGGAAGGGGGTTAATTGCTGGGATTAATCGCCCCGGAGCGTTCGGGGGCTGCAGGGGTCAGGGCCGGAGGTCGGAGGAGGTCAGGAGAGGAGAGCTGGGCTGGAGGGAGGTTTTGGGAAGAGCCTGGGATTCGTTCGAGCCGTGGGAAAGGCTGCTTGGGCGAAGAGCAAGGGGTGACCAGGACCTGGACCCCATCTCTGATGGGGGTCCCAGCTCCCCCAGGACTCCGTGCCCATTCCCAGCTGGGGGGGTAGGACCCAGGGACACCCAATTCATACAGCAGATCAAGCCTAATTCCGCAGAGGGCTCTTGGTTCAGGGTACAGACACCCAGGGAAGCGTCTGAAAGCGGCATCAGCTCAGCCCGGTGCGCGGCCGGAGCCCTGGGATGGGGATGGGGCAGGACCGGACCTCCTGCGGAAGGTGATGGGGAGGGAAAAAATCTATCCCTGCTTTGTTTTGTGCTGCAGCCGAAAACACCAGACCAACCCCCCCGGGAAATCAGGGAACGGGCTGATCTGATCTTCGCATCCGCGCTCCCTCCCTGCGGACGCGACGGATGCTCCCAGCCCCGGCGCGTCGGGAGGACAAACCCACCCGGGCTGCTCTGCCCGGCAGACGAAATCCCCTCGGCCAGGGAGCCTGCCGGAGCCCGGACCGAATAAGGAACTCGTGGCTAATCCTGGGGGACCCGGCGGGCAGGAATCCGGCAGCGTCAGGCGAGCTCTGCGCCGAGCTCGCGGCACGCCGGCAGCGCGGGGGGCTGGCACAGCTCGGCACGCTCGTCCGGCACCTGGGGTACCAAGAGCAGCTTTGCAGCAACACTTGGAGAGAGGAAGGAAGGAAGGAGAGCCCCAGAGGTTAAAAAGAAAACATTTTCTTTACCTTTGCATCTTAAAATAGGCTCTAAAACCTGGCGCAATGCTTTGGGCTGGGGTTCAGGCTGCGTTGGGAAGCTTCTTCCATGTGGGAGCGGCGTTTCCATCCCGCGAGTCTCCGGATCCCCGTGGTGCTGGGAGACCTGAGCTCAGCTGCCTGTCCCGCCGGGAGGGCTCAGCGCTTGCTTTTAGAGCAGAGGCTTAATTATATCTTCTCTCCGTGCACCGCGCAGCCTTCCCACACTTCTGCTCCAGCTGAGTTGCCCAGGGCCAAGAAGTCCTCCTCACTTTCTAGAAAAACCTTAATTTTCTGTA